AAAAAAAAAAAAAAAAAAAAAAAAAAAAAAAAAAAAAAAAAAAAAAAAAAAAAATCATGAATTTACAAATAAATCGTATATTTGACCAAATAATAATACCAATAATTAGTTTCTCTCTCAAATGATTGTAGTTGGAATAAATTTCATTTTTTAAATTGTTTTATTTTGAATTAATTATTTTTGTTAAGACTTTTAATTTTTTACAAAAAAATTATATACTATTAAGATTCCCATCTTCTATTTATTCTCCCAATTTCTTTACTTTTTAAGCACCATTTTATCATTTTTTTTAGGATACTTAAATGGTGAAATAATTATTAATTTTATGAGACTATCATATGAAATCAATTAATAAAAGTAAAATGAAATAAAATTGGGAATAAAAAGTAGGTGAGAATGGTAGATCGAGGTATAGAAAAGGCATAGAGAGTTTTGTTATGGTACAAATAATTGATGTAAGCAATAATAATGGGAGTGGGCAAAACATAGGTTTGGATGGAGGGTGGGGATCCAAGTTCAATAATGTGTGGGAGTGGTGTGGTGGGTGAGATATTCGTCTCTAATTCATTCCCAATAATTGTCGAACCCAACGGTAGATGATTGTGTTCTTTGTTTATTGTTTGTGGGCTTTGAGTAGAAGAGCACTCACACGATGCTCAATATTGAGAAACAGAATATTGAGAAACAGCTAGTGATGTATATATGCCTATATAAGGAAGTACTACCCTGTGGTAGCTAGGCTCAAGAAACAGGTAGCTTTCCTTGAATTGAAATAGGGCATGGAGACGGTTGAAAGTAAGACATAGTGTCTAATAGATTGGTAGGGTTTGTGTTAGTGCTGGTCAATTTAGAGAAGATGAAGATAGACCACTTTATTGCGAGTCTGAAGGACGAGACCTATATGCAAGCACTATATAATGCTATATTGATGGTCATGTTCACTTGGCTGGTCTTGGGAATCTATAATAATGCAATCATGCCTTGATAGACGACAATACTCGAATAGAGATCTTTAAACCCCTAATAGAGTAAAACGCCACATACGAGAGTCAAGGTAGCTCTAGGAGAATCACACGTAACTACAATTTTTTTTTTTTTTTTTTTGAATACTTGTATTAGATTATGTAAAGGGAAAAGAAGTAAGAAGAAAAGAATATATTCGGAAAAAATGGAGTGTTTTAGTGAAGAAGAATTTTATAGAGAGAAAATAAAATAATGGAACAAAGTATTACTTCACTCCAAAGTTAATTACATAATTTCTCACTTCACAAGTAATGCTTTCCTTCTTCCATTCTTTATAATTTCCAACTATATTCAAATTCCTACTTCAATCTTCCAAAATTATCAATAATCCACGAGTTTTAGCCTCGGTTTCTCTCCAAAATTATGAGATTTATGTACGTTAAGTTATGATATTTAATGTATTGTTCTAAAAAGGATCTCACACATCTTTTATGAACGAACCTCAAGCCAAAATGCACTAAAAGATGGAGCTTTGATTGAACCTCTAGAACGATAACAACTTAGTTTTCGGCCTATTTTGGATGGATTTATTTCTCTTTTAGTTAACAAAATGGAAAGAAATTAGTTTCGTTAGAAAGATATTAAAAAATTGTTCAACTTTGGC